AACTACACTCCTGGTATTCTCGGTCATTCCCCGATGTCGCACTCTCAAGTCCGACAACCGACGCCACAATGGAACACTCCTGGAAATTCCCCCACCTCGTCTGAACCAGCAACAGCCCTGGCACATGCATTCAACACGATGACGCTCCAAAACCCGGCGGACAACGCTTGGTACATGGACTCGGGTGCAACGGCTCATTTAACGAACCAACCAGGTAATCTTCGTACCGTTTTTAATTCGAGCACTACTCCTTCCGTCACCGTTGGTGATGGATCTCTCCTTCCCGTTAAACACGCTGGCCATACCACCTTCCCTTCTTCTACTCGACCATTCTCTCTACGTAATGTTCTCGTTACACCGTCCATTATCAAAAACCTAGTGTCGGTCCGTCAATTTACTACCGATAATGACTGTTCCATTGAGTTTGACCCGTTTGGTTTTTCTATTAAGGATCGTCCAACACAACGGACTCTTCTCCGATGTGATAGCACCGGCCCACTGTACCCACTCACCGAGCCTACCGTCTCCGCATACCAAGCTAATGTGGCACTACTCACCTCACCACCCACCATATGGCATCGTCGTTTGGGACACCCGGGCATCTCCGTTCTTCAAAATTTGATTTCTTCCGGTTTTATTGAATGTAATAAGCCAAACATGTCTTCGTCATGTGAAGCGTGTCAACTTGGCAAAAGTGTTCGTCTTCCATTTTTCCGATCAACTACTACGGTTTCGGTACCTTTCCAAATAATACATTCCGACATTTGGACTTCGCCAATTCCGAGTGTTAGTGGTGTACGTTACTATGTGGTATTTCTTGATCACTTTACACAATTTTTATGGGTATATCCCCTTCGTCGAAAAAGTGACGTGTTTTCCAAGTTTCTTCATTTCCACTCCTATGTTCAAAACCAATTTCAAACAACCATCAAATCTTTTCAATGTGACCATGGAGGTGAATTTGATAATCACAACTTTCAAAGCTTTTTCGATACACATGGCATCACAACTCGTTTTTCTTGCCCGCAAACTTCCCAACAAAATGGGAAGGCCGAAAGAGTCATACGAACCATAAACAATCTCATTCGAACCCTCCTATTTCAAGCCAACTTACCACCGAATTTTTGGGTTGAGGCACTTCATATGAGTGTTCATCTACTCAATCTTCTTCCTTCCACTGCCATTAACAACAACATTCCATACACTAAACTCTTTTCTAAACCACCCTCTTACTCCCATTTAAAGGTTTTCGGATGTCTATGTTTCCCGAACCTTACTTCTACAACACCACACAAACTAGCCCCTCGTTCAACGCCTTGTGTTTTCCTCGGATATCCATCCCATCATCGAGGCTATAGGTGTTTCGACTTAAAGACTCGAAAGATAATCATATCCCGTCATGTTCAATTTTATGAACATGACTTCCCATTTTTCAAACCTACACAAACATCACAGACCTCCTATGATTTTCTTGATTTGCACACTGAGGTCAATCCATTTTTTCGTACACTTCGTGAGATGCCCACTGCCCCATCGACGACGCCATTACACCAAACAGACCCATCTCCACCACTCTTACAACATCAGCCTCGTATCTCGCCTTCACTCACATCACAATCCCCCCCGACAGTGCCACATAACTCGCCCTTGCCCTTACCTCCACAACAACCCACAGTCTCCGACACTAGTACACACCACCCCATGAGAACTCGGAGCAAATCCGGTATCTCGAAACCCAAACAGGTCCTTTCTCTCCTAGTTGACCCGATCTCACCATTGCCAAGATCACATCTTTCTGCTCTTCAAAACCCTCATTGGAGAGCAGCGATGATGGAGGAACATAGTGCTCTTATTAAAAATGGGACGTGGGACTTGGTTCCCCGCCCCCCGAGGGTTAACGTTGTTCGTTCTATGTGGCTTTTAAGGCATAAGTTCAAGGCGGATGGCTCTCATGCAAGATACAAAGCACGGTTGGTCGCAAATGGGAAATCGCAACAACCCGGCCTAGATTACGGTGACACGTTCAGTCCGGTCGTGAAACCGGCGACAATCCGGGTTGTGTTGAGTCATGCTCTATCTCACGAATGGCCAATCCATCAACTCGACGTGAAGAATGCCTTCTTGCATGGTAACCTCACCGAAACCGTGTACATGCACCAACCACCGGGCTTTGCGGACAAGACCAAACCCGACCACGTTTGTCTTCTCCGACGTTCACTATATGGTTTAAAGCAAGCTCCGAGGGCGTGGTTTCACCGTTTTGCCACCTTTGCCCACCGAATTGGATTTATACTCAGCAAATCCGATCCCTCGCTGTTCATACTTCGGCGAACCTCAGGACAAGCATTCCTTCTTCTCTACGTGGATGACATCATCCTCACGGCATCTACCTCAACTCTTCTACGTGAAATCATACAGTCTATGCATGGAGAATTTGCAATGTCTGATCTAGGCCCACTACATTATTTCCTTGGAGTACAAGCCACATTCAACAAAGGTGGACTGTTTCTTTGTCAATCTCAATACGCCATTGACATCCTTCATCGCGCAAGCATGGAGAACTGCAACCCGTGTCTTACCCCAGCAGACACAAAGTCGAAACTCTCGGCCGACATCGGAAAACCAGTCCAAGACCCGACACTTTACCGCAGCCTTGCTGGAGCGCTCCAATACCTCACGTTCACCCGACCCGACATCGCCTATGCTGTCCAACAAGTCTGCTTATTCATGCATGACCCGCGCGAACCACATTTCCATGCTCTAAAACGCATACTGCGTTACATCAGAGGTACCACTTCCCATGGCCTCCAGCTATATCGATCGTCCCCGACCAACCTCATCGCCTACTCCGATGCGGATTGGGCTGGCTGTCCGGACACCCGACGCTCCACCTCAGGTTTTTGTATATTTCTCGGCAACAATCTCATCTCGTGGTCCTCAAAACGCCAACGCACTACATCTCGATCAAGCGCCGAAGCCGAATATCGAGCGGTTGCGAATGCGGTTGCTGAAACTTGCTGGCTAAGTAACCTCCTCACTGAGCTACATTGCCCTCCCGCTCGATCCACGGTGGTTTTCTGTGACAATATCAGCGCGGTATATATGTCTGCCAATCCGGTCCAACACCAACGAACGAAGCACATCGAGATTGATATACACTTCGTTCGTGAAAAAGTCTCTCTTGGCCAGGTTCGTGTCCTTCATGTACCGTCAACATCGCAGTTTGCAGATATCTTCACCAAAGGGTTATCCACCTCTCTCTTCATCGAGTTCCGAAACAGTCTGAGCATCCGCGAACCTCCAGCTCCGACTGCGGGGGTGTGATAGATGACAATATAATTGACAGAGGATATTATGCAAATCAACGATTGTATTTCCTTCTTTGCATATATTACCATAACACTCATGTAATGTGTATATATGCTGGTCAATGAGAATACAGAAACCCGAAGGGATTATACCAAATTACAAACTCACCAAGATTCCATAAAATCCCAAGAAAAAACAAAACCCATCTCCCCAATCCTCGAAAAGATCCAGAAAATCGCTCGAATCCGAGAGAATTCAGTCCCAAAACGCGTAATAATCAGACAAAGTTTAGAGAAGAAGGCGCAGAAGAAGATGGTGAAGAAGAAGAAGAGGAGGAGGAGGAACAGGAAGGGCTCGAGTAAGGAGCTTGATCTTGACCACGGTCATGGTTCAGGGGTATTTTGGGAAACACAATTTTGTCGCCATGGATGCGGAGCTCCAGATGAAGAGTTCGAAACGAGGAAATCCTTCCAATGGACGATTGCATCGCCATGAAAGAGCGGCTCAGGACATGGGCTCATGCAGTTGCTTGTTCTGTCCGATAAAATTTAACGTTTTTATTTTAACTTTCTGATTTGTCGAATATTTTCCATGTTAAAAGGGAGATTAAGATTTACTAATCTCAATCATTAGAGATTTAATAAATAATAATTAAATAAAACTGTCACTGAAATACCGAAAGATCTCACCTTTATTTATACTTCTCTAACAAATTCCAGACACAAAAAAAGGCATTCAGAATTCAAATCAAGCAAACCCGGTCATCCATGTGGATTTTCACAATCATCTGCAAAATGTAATTTTGGGTTTTCGACCGGCGAAATTTCGGATTATAAAAAAAAATATCAAGCAAATCCTGCGAGACGTTTGAAACTTTAAGGTGGGGTTATGGGATTAGGGGTGAACACGGGTCGGATATCCGGAAATTTGAGGGTATCCGAACTCGAACCCGAACATCTCGGGTTATATGTTTTATTACCCGATCTCGTACCCATGAAATCGGATACCCGAACCCGAAAACTCATGAGATAATTATCGGGTACTCGAGAATACCCGAACCCGAATATTTGTAATTATTTTCAATCAATTTTTTAAAATATATTTATATATACGTACTCAAAATCATTGAAAATAAATTTAAATTGTATTTATATCTAAAATAAATTTATTTTAAAAAAATATATAATAAATATATCCAATAATATCTATATAATCATTAATATTAAATAAAATAACACAAAATCTAATAAAAAATCTAAATTTTAAAACATAATTTTTATTATCCGGGTACCCTGAGATAATAACCATTATCCGAACCCGAACTCGAAAACTCGGGTATTCCAATATTAATACCCGATCTCATGTCTCGTTCATTCGGATACCCGACCTCGGGTCGGGTCCGGTACTCGAAATCCGGGTATTTTTGCTCACCCCTAAATTGGGGACATTGAGTTGCGCCAACACCTAGGACCATAAGATGGGGTGAAAAGGAGGAAGCTTTCAGATCACCCGAAATGGAGAACTTCGAATTCTATACACATTTTCCGTTTTCTCGGGAAACAAACAGGCCTTAGGGGCAGCACCAGCGAGGCGAGGCGATCGCCACGGAGATGTTGAGCACGAGCCTCTGAACCTTGATATGTGTCTTGATGAACGGCGCAGAACATAAGATAAAAAACGAGACGGAGACGGAGACGACGAAAAAATTCGAAAAAAGTGTTCATATGGCGGCACAACGATTCGATTCTCGAAAGCAAACAGAAGAGAAAAACCCGTCGAGACAGTGTTTTGTAAGCAGCTAAAGCTCAAAACAGGTTAACATGGAAGAACCAAGGCAAGACGAAGATGGTGATAAGACAAGCCATGAGGATGTTGCAGCATGATGGTCCTCCCTCACATCTTCTTCTCTGTCTGAACGCTCCTTCTCCATAGTTTATTAACCTATCTCCGCTCCATTCCTCGATGAACCCGTTATTACGCAGACCCGTTATGTTTCTTGCCGGCTGGCCGCATATTTCACAAACTCTGCAATATACAGTCACGTGAAAAAGTACAAACGAATCAGGGTTCATTCAGTTCCGCCTTCCCGAGCCAAGAGTTTATCTGTGGTTCTATCTTATACTTTGATGAAGTTATCGGCATTGTTTCCGTGACCACGATACCGAAAAAAATGACCCAGTTACAGATGAACATGGTTCAGATTGTTTGAAGAAACATGGTTCAAGATTTCGAAAGACTTCTACTAATCTCGTGGATTACTCGGACAAAAACCTCGGTTAGAAGAGATAAAAGTTCACCGATCTATACTCGGGCTGCGATTTTCAGGGCACGAATCAGCCACTATTATGGTATAATAACGAGGACGAAAGGAGAAGAAACCGAGTCACCTGTTTCCTTTGAGCTTGAACCAGGCTTCGGCACAGTAAACGTGTGCGCTCCCAAGCTCGTCTTTACATCCGCAACCGATCTGGATCAAATCCATATTCACCGACTTACCAGAAACTCTATCGGTAACTTCAGGCGACTGTTCATAACTCAAATGACAGATTCTGCACTCTCTTTTCCCATCACATTCTCCTCCACCACTATTACCACTCCTCAAATCGATCACATGTGACTCTTTCGCCTTTTTGTTCGGATTCTCTTCCACAACTGTCTCACCCTCTTCAATAACAGAACCTGCCTCGTGAACACATATCCGAGTAACGTTTTCCGCCACTGCATCTTCCCCGCGGACGAAATTAGTTGGATTGGTAATGAAAAGAGCATCATCTTCCACTGATTTCACATCATTTTGCTGCAGATTCTGAAGTTTATGATCCTCCTCTGTCCCTTGTTCTTCAGACAAGACCTTCTTTGAGACAGAATCACTGGTTTGTCCATTGAAACCTGCATTTTCTTCTGAGTCTAGCACAACCACAGCCTCAAGCACAGAATCTCTCGAATTCTCACGAACTAAAGCCGATTTCGAATGAATTTCCGGGTTATCACAAGTCTCCGGATCCATTAATCCATACCCAAGAACGCCAAAAAAACACAAAATAGAAAGCTTTCCCTCAAGAACTTCCTAAGCAAGAACAGAACTATCTCCACAATCAGAATCTATCGAGAACTGTCATAACTCGGACCAATCTCTTCCCCTCAAATTTCAATTACCTTCTACAACTACTCGCAACCCTTAAACGCCGATTGACGGCGAACAAAGATCCAAGCCAGAAAAACCTACCCTTTTCATCGTTCGGACACTAGCCCAGAGCCCAGATCCAACATCCGATGAATTCTGTTCCAAGCGAATCACTTTTGTCCAGAGAAAAGCTTCAGAAAATCTGGGAAGGCGAAGATCTCAAAGGGGTGTTTTTCGGAAATTAGCTTCGACGTGCCGTATCGAACAATTGCGTGTACGAATTGGGGAAATCGACGAGAAGGGGTTTACATAAAAAAAGTTTTTTTTTTTCTAGGGAAGGGAAGAGAGGAACAAGTAAACAGTGAGAAACTTTCTAACTGAAATAATAAAGTTTTTTTATTCAAATTTAGAAATAAAATCACTTCGGTTTCGGAATTATAAATCCGATGAGAAAGACTCGGGAAACTTCATTTTATTATATTTTTCCTAAATATGTAGAATGTTTTATATACACCGTAAAAATGCATACGATATACTATACTATACGGCATTCCAACGAAAAGGAAAAAATAAAAATATTTTATTATGGGTCCAAAATTATAATTGTTCAAAATATGATAAAATATGCCTATGTTGGTATGTGTGTATATATATACACACACTAATTGCATTTTGTTGAAATGGGTTTAAAAAAAATTCTAAGAAATGTGGATTGATGGAGATATTTGGATGTTTAGCAGTCCACTAATCGGAAAATCAATTTTATATGCGTTGTGAAATCTCTAATATTAGAAAAGAATTGAAATTTAATCAAAGATGGATTTGAGCTAAACTTTATGATTTAAGTGTATGATTGGAACTCTAATTTCCATTTTTAAAGGTTAATATTTAATTCCAAAAAATAATTAATTATAATGATGAATTTGTGTAGGTTTGTTTTCTCAATTACCTTTGAACCCTAATTTTCTCATTATATTAAAACAACTAAACTTTTTTATAGAGATAAATTTGTATGGCTTTGTTTTCTCATTAGATTAAAACAACAATTTAAATAAATTATAAAGATAAATTTGTATGGATTTGCTTTCTCAATCTAGGAATAAATCAAACTAATAATAAAATAATTGATATGTGACCGATTATTTTTAAAATCTATTAAATTTAATTTTTTAACTAAAATGATAGAGTCTCGGGGATGTGCCAAAATTGAAATAAATAACACCTCATTGTTTAAGCCATTATCTGGACCGTATCTATTGCATCCTAAAAGAAAGGAAACAACTGAATTATTTTCATATATTTTTTTTAGTTATCTTGTTGATTCTTGAAGATTAGTCAAAAGATTATCAAATTTTAAAAAAACCCAACCAAATATATTTTCAACAAATCATTTGGTTATCCAAACTTGAATGAAATAAATACTCAAAATGTATGGTCCCACTCCGAATTTGAACTTAAAATTTGGAAAAAGGACGTATAATATAAATCATATTGGTCACTCACGTATCCGAAATTAGCGTGAGTTTTGGTACACGATATCCGGTTGGAAAAAAAAAACAAATCATTTAATTGATCCATAAATGTGATGTATGTATGGTCGGGCTATTGATAATCTATTAACCTAATTCTTAGGTTTTGATTTAACATTTCTCATTTTATTTTAGTTAGTTAGTTTGTTAGAAATGAGACAATATTTTTGTTATAATAAAATAAAATAAAAAGTTGTTTATGCGGAGAGTTATAAAATATTTAAATTCTATTAATATTATGTAACTTGTATATAATTTTTTATTTCAAGTTTCCAAAAATAGCCAACTAAAATCAAGGTTTGAGCCCACGTGTATCTTTGTAAATTGTTATATATATATTGTTCATTTCTATTAATTACCCTTTCACTTTTGATAATGATTCGTTTTATGTTCTTTTTCTTTGATATACTAATGAAAATATGTATGTAATGATATAATTATTCTAATTATCTATAATACATTATATATATCCGTAAATGTTTTATGAGTCCAATACATTATGAGACAATGATTTGTTAACTGACCAGCTGACATGCTTGCGTTACAAGTTACGACGGCAATTGAAAGAAGGGGTTCGTAACTATTTTTAAAACTCAAGGGGTCAAATTTGAAATAAACAGTAATACAGGGGTAATAATTAAGATTCACGGCGAATTCCTTCGATTTGGTACTGGAATTCGAGGGAGGGACAGATGCAATGCAGAAGAACTGAAGCTTTCTGGCTTTGGTGCGCGTTTGGTGAAATGTAGCTGTTGAAAGAACCAATCTTGTTCATCAAGGTTAGATTTTTTTTTTGTTCTAATTCCGAAATTTTTGATTTTTTTTTTGTTTGCCTTGCGTTTTACTCTTCCGACCCTTAAACGCCGATTGACGGCGAACAAAGATCCAAGCCAGAAAAACCTACCCTTTTCATCGTTCGGACACTAGCCCAGAGCCCAGATCCAACATCCGATGAATTCTGTTCCAAGCGAATCACTTTTGTCCAGAGAAAAGCTTCAGAAAATCTGGGAAGGCGAAGATCTCAAAGGGGTGTTTTTCGGAAATTAGCTTCGCACGAAAAAAATTTCGCCATTCCCACCAACTTTTGGTTAGCTTCACTTGAAATCAATGTGTTCTGTCGAATCTCCCCTTAGTTTTATGGGTTTCTTCTCATATCTTATCGATGATTCTGGTGCCATTGATTCTAAATTTAGCTCCTTTGATCGAATCTTGTCGTGGGTATTTGTCGAGAGATCGAGAGAGAGAGAGAGAGAGAGAGAGAGAGAGAGAGAGAGAGAGAGAGCAATTCATCTTGAAGTTTGCTTGGGGATGCAAAGGCTGATACAAAAGGGCAAATCTTTTCTGGTGAATCCGTTGTGTCAAAGTGTTGTGAATACGTTATGGGGAAACAAGGATCACCGAAGAGTCCACGGCCGAGTGTTACGGATAAGAACTCGTCGTTCGGGACGAGAAATTTCGACGGCGGCCATGGTAATGATCCTTCTATTGGGAGGAGAATATCTGGAAACGACTGTAAATGGAGCTCCAAGTTCTCATCAATGGAAGGATCTAAACAAGATTTCTGCAAAGGGGTTTACTCCTGGAAGAAGCATTCATGGCTCCGTCGGAATTTCAAGTCGCTCGTGGTTATGATCGCTGTGTCGGGTTTCGTTTTCTTTCTGGATTCGGTTATGGTATCGTTCTTTTATTCAGACAGCGTTAGTGACAGCTCACTGTTGAATAACACTGCTTGGAATGAGGTTTGAATTGGATCTTTGATGAATCTATCTGATTGTGTCACTGAGGAAACATTCTTTGATAATTATCCCTTTCATATGCTAATCCTTTGCATGAATGCTAATGAAGAATGGAATTTCAGAAGCAAGAGAAGAAGCTCCTCCGTTGCAAATGTATATCCGACTTATGAATCTCGCTTCAAATGCCCTTTCCGAGGTTAGTCCTTGTGTGCATCTACGAGATCAGAACGTCGGTTTTCATGCTAAATCTTCCATCTTGTGAAAACCGTTACTGGGTTCTTGGTTTTGGCAGAGAGAGTTCAAGCCCGAGACATCGAAATTCTGGAAGGAAAGATTCCCCAAGTCATCTCTGTGGAAGCCTTGTGCTGACAAGAAAGCAAGAACAGCCTTCGGTTAGTGGATATTCCATTCTCCTGAATCCAATTAACCGTTCTCGAGATAAGTTAATCCAATTTTTTTGGTTACAGATAATGTCAGGTCCGGAGAAGGGAACGGTTACTTAGTCGTCAGTGCAAATGGCGGTCTTAACCAACAGCGAGTGGCTGTGAGTATCGAAAAATTCAGTAACTGAATCCAACTCCATTGTTTTACCAGACAAGACAGAAACAGGTTTCTTCCAAAGTGAAAGTGAAGATGATGTTTTTTTTTGTTCTTGCAGATCTGTAATGCTGTTGCAGTGGCTTCTTTGCTTAATGCCACTCTGGTTCTTCCAAGATTTCTTTACAGCAATGTGTGGAAGGATCCGAGGTGAAAACTATTTAGAACCCTAAATTCTTTTCCGGGTTTTGCTTCCGAATTCTCGGGTTTGATGTCTCGGTCGTGTTAAATCCCAGCCAGTTCGGCGATATCTATCAGGAAGATTATTTCATCGACTACCTGAAGGATGATGTTTCTATAGTGAAAGATCTTCCCCAGCATTTGAAATCTATAGATAATCGAAATCTCAGCATGGTGAGTAATCCTTTTTCGGGTATGAACCCGTCTTTTATTCTCGGAGTTCGGCATTGTTTTTCCGTTTATGTCGTTTGTCCTTTTTGTTAGGTTACTGATTCTGACCTCGTAAAAGAGGCAAAGCCAATCGATTACATCGAACATGTACTTCCTCTCTTGCGGAAGTACGGAATGGTTCATCTTTTCGGGTACGGGAATCGTCTTGGCTTTGATCCAATGCCTTCCGACGTTCAGGTACTTGAAAAACCTCGGAAAATTTTCGAATACCGGACTTTGAAACCTAAATATGAACAGACAGAAACAGCTGTTACAGATTGTTTCCTAACCTATTGTTCCAGAGACTGAGGTGCAAATGCAACTTCCATGCACTGAGATTTTTGCCCGAAATTCAACGAGTCGGCTCGTTGTTGGTTAAACGGATACGAAGATACGACGCATCGAAAAGCAGGTTGGATAAAGAACTGCTCGGGGAATTCATGCCGGGAGATCGTACGGAAGGACGGGATTCATCCACCGGAGGACCATTGAAGTATCTCGCCTTGCATTTGAGGTTCGAAGAGGATATGATCGCCTACTCTCTTTGCGATTTTGGCGGCGGAGAGAAGGAACGGAACGAGCTTCGATCTTACCGGGAAAACCATTTCCCGCTCCTAATCGAACGCCTGAAAAAATCCGGGTATGAAGCTTCTCTCTTTGCGGGTCTCCCCCCCGGGAGATTACTTGTTGAAACGGTTTCATGTATGATCTCTTTTCCAGGTCTGTCACTCCTGAAGAGTTGAGGAAACAGGGAAAGTGTCCATTAACACCCGAAGAAGCGACTCTGATCCTCTTCGGGCTCGGATTCGGGCACGGGACGTACATATATCTGGCGGGGTCGGAAATATACGGAGGGAGGCCTCGTATGCTTCCCCTCACGACGCTTTACCCGAATATCGTGACCAAGGAAAAGCTTCTCACGCCAGACGAGCTTGCTCCGTTCAAGAATTTCTCTTCTCAGGTAGAGACAATCCTTGGAAACCTCGAACACATTTTACCGTCTCAAAGGATTTAGAAAATTACAAAGATATTTTCGGATTTTTATGTCTAAAATCCGAAATTCGGGTTCGGTCGATATTTTCGGGTCGAATAATTATCTATGGTTATCCGACAGTAGAAAAATAACCATTTTATTTTTGAATTATTATAAAATTATAAAAGATATCTATCCGTATATAATTGTTTTCTCTTTGTTCTATCGTTTTATAATCTAATTATTTTGAATATAAATAATTTTTCAATGATTTTATAAATTATTTGTACGTAATGTATAGATTTGTGAGTTTTTAATCAAAATATGTTCAAAACCTGTCAGGTTCGGGTTCGAGTATCCTAAAAATCTCGCGTATACGATTTAACTAAAAGACGTTGTCGTGACATCTTTTTCATGTTCTTTTTTCAGCTAGCGGCGTTGGATTTCATCGCGTGTGCGGCGTCAGACGTGTTTGCAATGACCGATTCCGGGAGCCAGTTATCGTCGTTGGTGTCGGGATTCAGAACGTACTACGGGAACGGACGTGCGCCGTCGTTGAGGCCCAACAAGAAGAGGCTGGCGGCGATCTTGTCGGAAAGCGGGAGCATTGAATGGAACGTTTTCGAGGAGAGGGTGAGGAAGATGATAGAAGAAGGGCAACGGGTTCGTCTGCGGCCGTACAACCGCAGCATTTACCGCCAGCCAAGATGTCCGGAATGCATGTGTAAATCCGGTTAGGACATATATACATGTATGTTTTTTTTTTTTTTGTTTCACCTACCCGGGTAATAAGTTTTGTTATTTGAATCTGATTCCAGATGCTACGACTGTTCGAGAAAATGTTCGGGTATTTATAGGTATCCGAATCCGAAAAAACAATACAAAAAACTTGTATAGTAAAAGAAAAAAATCAGATAATCTTTCACTGCCTTAAATCCTGGGAACGTTCGACGAAAACTCTCATTGCCATGGCGACAAACAAGGGTGGCCATTTCGGGTATTAACCGAATAACCGAGTCGAACCGAACCAAATAAGACATAACCGTACCCGAACCGAATCCGACATCAAAACCGAACGGTTATGATTTCCTTAAACCCGAAAAACCGAAACCGAAAACCGAACCGAATCGAATAAAAAATAACCGAAAAAACCGAGAGAATAACCGATATTTTCCTTGGAAAATTGAACTTTTTACCAAAACCGAACCGAAAAATAACCGAACCGAGCCGAACCGAAATTTATATAAAAACCGAATGGTTATAGTTTTTCTATAACCGAAATAACCGAACCGAACCCAAACCGAAACCCGAATTGGCCACCCCTAGCGACAAAGAAGGTGAACACTTCGGTACAATCCTTCGAAAAAAAAATCTAAGACCGAACGGAAACCAAAATCGAATCGGATACCGGAACGTCCAACCTCAGGAAAAAAGATGAAAAACCATCTCTTTTTATATTTTGATAAAATTTTCGGGTATTCACGGATATACATACGAAATTTTTATAAAACAAAAATCCGATTAGAGTTATTCAGATATCAGATTAAGATTCGACTCTGGATTCATATTTTCGTTTATATAATGGGAAAAAAAACAATAGACTAAGACTTAACGCATTGTGTTACAACACAGACGCCCAAAGCAGGCAGAAGAAACCCTCTCAAGATCTTCTCTCCAATTTCCTCTCTACCGATCTTCTTTCCTCCGCCTCTCTCTTCCTCTGTTGCCTGCATGTTCAATATAACCACTCATGTGTGTATATATATACACACATACATACAGTGGCTCATACTCTATCCTAGAGTTCATCGGTATTTATCATATCTGTTCCTATCTAACGGAAGGCTATTGGATCGGATGACAAAGACGTCGTTGAAAAAACCGATGGCTTTTCCTTGCTATCAGTTCCGACAACGAATCAACTGGATAACTAAATAAACCCGAGATCATTGCTTTAGAGAAGATCCAACTCTAATGGAAACTCCCTATGGGAAATTATTTTTGAGAGTTTAGCAAGAAGAAGAATAGGACTTACATGAAGGCTGTGTATCCGGAACCAGCACTGGCGGCTGATAGGAGAGCTGGATTAGACCGTAATTCTTGAGCACTACCCGGAAGGGGATGATTCTTCCCGTCGCCATCCACCTGATTTGCACAAAACGTAAAAAGGAACGAGAAGAACGGTAAGTTATGCAGAATGTTCATCATCATCATCATCATCTCATTCTAAACATTCAGAAAACGTGTTGTCGAAATTACAACCTTATCCCATTTCGATTTCTTGTTAGCTCTGCCATCTCGTGATCCCGTATCAGTTGATACAGAGGACAATCCACTTGTAGGTAATGCTGGAAGTCCTGTAAAATTCACAAAAATAAAACGGGAGGAGAAGTATAAAGAACCATTTTCAAGCTCGTTTTTTATTTGCCATTTCCACGCACCTGGGATGGGAATGATAGGCTTCTGACCCGCAAAAACTGTCCCAAGTTGAGCACCAGAAGTAACAAAGTCGAGTTTTTGGTTCTTCTTGCTTTCTTGCTCCTTCCTTTCCCTCTCACGCTTCATATCGGCTTCTGTAAATGCACACGTTAAAGAAGATTATCTCATGAAGGAAGACGGCAACAAGTATGGAAAATAAAGAGCTATCATGAATTTCCTAAGGTAAACTCAATCACTAATTCTTCATATGCCCTTTTTTTCATGAGTACATGCCACAAAATAAAAGATCTGAGACTGAAAATACAAAAATAAACTCAGTTTGCTATTGTTCCTCTCACAATAATAAGAAGGAGAAGAAGAAGAAGAAGAAAGTGATCCAGGGTAGAAACGAACCTATTTCATCGTAAAAGTCACTCGGGTCATATCCATGGGGATCAAAAACATCTTTACTGAAGCAAGATCCAATCTGATCGATATCTTGGTACCGCACCGCATGCAACAAAAAGTCCGGGTTTCTATAATCCTTCCTATTCCGCACTTCCGTATTGAAACTCTTTCCAAACTTCTTCAAGCTAAGAAACTTATCTATTTTCCTCTGCAACAACATCACAAGAATATAGACAACATATGAAGCAAAATCCAAAGACAAGTATACTTACTAGATCGAAAAACCAAAAACTTAAAAAAAAAGTCCTTTTATGAATAAATTTTGGAAGAGGGAATGCAAGAACAGAGCCCAAGAAAAAAGAAACTCACGTGAACAAAAAAAAACCCAAGCTTATCAAAACCATCTATCCAGTATCCAAATAAACAGTCCAAGAACTTCCACATGTCCGTGTTATTGAGACAAAAGTGAATATCAACTGGCACCATCAGGCAAGAGATCTAAGAGAAAGAGGTTATCATGTTTCTCATGAAAGCTTACAACCTATGCTTCATCTGTTCTAAGACTTGGGGATTCACTGATGTTCTAAATGAATCTCAAACTCATCAAGCTGAGGATCACACCAGCGAAATCTTGCCATCAACTCATTCAAGCCTATGTACCTGTTCGAAGAACTGTGCATTTCAAGCGATAATTCCGTGTAAAACCCTTCTCGGATTGGTTTCAAGGCTCAATCTAGTTCCTAAAATTTGCAAATGATCCCAAAAAAGAACACCGATGTATTAAATCGTTGAAGTCCAAAAGCGACTTACTTGGAGCTCCTCCGAACACTTCTCCCTAGGTGGTGGCGGCAGAAACTTATCCAATAACGTGTCGGTACTTTCCCCAGATGCATCACCAACTCTTTCACCATCTGCAATCTCCGAATCAACAATCATTCTACTCGAAGAATCGGGCCTCGATAATTCGTTGTCATCGATCGATCTAGGAGTCGCGTGGACGCTCGAAGCTCCACCATCGCCGACTCCAGACGTCCTCGAATCCTCCTCTCCTCCTCTGTCCTCTTCCAAGTCAGTTGCTTCACCTAGCTGGTCCTCATCTCTTCGTTCGCTTTCTTCACGCTGCTTCTGCACTTCTTCTTCCTCCTCTTCTTCCTCGGCATCTTCCATCTCTTCATCGTCTTCATCGCTGTAAACGGACAACAAAGCAATGCCCTCGGAGTGCTTCTTCTTCGGAGCCATGGATTTGCTTGAGATTAGGGTATCAGGAACGTGAATTGATTCCCAAGCGAAGCAATCAATTTGGGGGAAAACAGAACCAAAAAAAAAGGTGAAATTAGGGTTCTTCAAAAAATTTGTTTCTAATCGAATCGAATCGCAACGCTGACGAGACGAAACGAGCACCAGCTGGATTTGATCGCCGGTAGTGTTTTGTAATATTCTCCGAAACGACGTAGTTTTAAGAACTCGTATGCCGTTTTAGCGAAACGACGTAGTTTCGATATATTTTTATTTATTGGGCTTTAAATAGTGAGGCCTTATCTTATCTTGGGCTAACAAAAGCCTAAAGTCCATGCAATACTGAATGAATTATATAAATTCCCAATTATATCGACAATATTTGGTAAGTGTGTGTGTATATATATATATATATATATATATATGTATATATATGATAATCTGAAATTTCGTATGTAATTTATAAACGATTAGCAATTATAATCTTCCATAATGATTTAACACAGCTCTTTAAAGTTAATTTCTACATCCTGTAAGAATATATTTTTTATTTGATTATTTTTATATCGCTTTTTATTTTTTTAAAAATATATAAACTTCCAATTCAGTTATCATCACCCACATATAATGGTTTTCGTATTCATTTCGGATTAATTCAATTTTAAAAAAAAAATCTATCTAATCGATTTTAAATTTTAGATTTAGTTATAAGAAATTTAGATATTATTCCCTTCAATTCAATTCTATTCTATTCAACTTTATATCCTAATGGCCGAGAAACGATTCTATGGTTTTAAATATGGATTTAGATTTAAGATGGCCTTTTAGTGTATGTATTTATTTCTATATATGGTCTCACATGCAAATTATTTCTCATAATTATGAATTATAAATGATTCTCCAAGAAAATTATTTTCTTTTTTCTTTTTGGTTCGTACATTGTGTAAATGTATACGTCTTCTAATTAGGGCTGGACGTCAGAACCGGACCGAACCGAACTATTAAAACGGTATTTTTCCCGATCCGAAACCACTGTTATTTCTTGAACGTACCATATTTAGAGAACCGAATTTTTTCGGAATCAAACCGAACCAAACCGAACTTTAAAAATCCTGAAAAACTGAATATTTTTAAAGGAAATCTATTATTTTTTTAATAAAACATGGACCGAACCGAACTGAATACAATAAAAAACCCGATTGGTACTTATTTTTGTAAAACCGAAAGAACCGAACCGATTTATTCCGTCTCGAATCCAAACCGTTTCTCGAAACGGTCACCTAATCGGCACCGCACAGATTTCGGAGACATATTCATATTTTATTATTTTTGTTTTTTTTCCTAAAGGAAATACTTATTCATATTCACGTTATTATCTGTATTATGTGGTTAAAATAATAAATAGTATATATTTATTTTCGTATATCAACGTATATGTACGTCTGTATATGCAATAAAAAATAAAGAAAAATTAGCAAAGTATTTATCTGAATCGAATATTATCCAAACAAATTAACGAAGACGTGGTATTCACAACTTATTCAGATAATCTCTCTGTCACATAAAGATTTATTTATTTTGAGTTTTATGATCTAATATGATTTTCAAATTCTATAGAATTTCAATTTTATTTAAAAAAAAAAAGATTTTGTGTGTCTACTTTTCTTACTATTTTAAATTTTATTAGTTTGGTCTAAAAAATTATATTCAATAGTTTTAAAATAAGGCTTCATTTATATATAATATGCTGTTTCTATTCAATTCAATGTACTTTTATATATCCAAACCAACACAATTATCTAATATATTAGACAATTTTCTCCACACAATACAAAAAATAATTATTTTTATAGCAAAAAAAAAACTGTTCTTATTTTTTATTATGATTACACTATATATCCACAGAAAAATTCATATTTTTGCTTTTAGAAAAAAAGGATAACTATATTTGACAATGTGAGGCCATAATGAAAAGGGTCCAATATCTCCTTTCTTTATTTTTTTGTCCTGTCAAAAATAAAATGGATAGGATAAAGTTTTTATTAAAATGGCATGAAGTGCGGCCATAATGAAAAGGGTTCAATTTCTCTTTCTTTTTGAGTTTTTGTGGTCCTATAAAAAATAATAAAATGAAAAGGATAAGGTTATAGTTTATTAAAATGACATGAACCGACCGCCATATAGGTGCTCATTAAGCCACTTATATCCCAAAATTTATAAGCTCCTTGGCATCTATGAAAAGCCAATCAAATTATTCAATATTTAAATCCCCATTTGCCATGTTCATTTTTTTTTTTATAATTAAATCGAATTCGGATTGTATTTCTGATATGGTTACAACTAGATCTTATGTGTTCTTTTTAAAATTAAAAAAATATAATGATGATTAAAAGGTGTAACATCACTTTTTAGATATGTTTTTGAACAGTCTTCATGTTTCTTCTTTCTTTTGTGTGGATAAGATTAAATGGCAATTACTAAGTTATTAGATAAACTTGCCCATATGGAAAAGAGAGATTAAAAAACAAATTGTAGAATATAAAAAAAGAGAGAGATATATCCATGGGTGGACCTAGTTTATTTAACTAAAAAAAATAATTTCTCTATAAAATTTAAATGATTTTGAATAAAAATTTTAAATGCCCCATTGTAAAACTATGTTTGCTTTCTTGTAAAATTAATTTTTCACCCAATTAAAAATTTTTCTAGGTCTAATGGATATATCCTAAACATACTACATTATAGATGAATAGTTATTCACAGTTTGATTTGATTTTGGATTTCGATTTTAAAAATTATATATAATCTAGGTGAGACTGCCATTCATATTCTATTTAAAATTTATTTTCATTTTTTTTAAGAGATTTCAGTTTCTATATGATTTTTTTGTTATTGATATGTTTGGTTAGAATCCGTTTAATTTAATGTAAAAAAAATATCAAAGTATAATACATTATAGACGTCACAATTAGCAAAAACGTTGAATATTTCGGGTTTATGTTGGGATTTTATTCAAAATTTTCGATTTTAATTTTTTTTATTGTTTTCATGATTAAAAATCGATTAATTTAATTTAATAAAATATATATCCAATTTTAAATTAGTTTAAATTTGGATATAATTAAATATTACTCCATCAAACAACAAATATTGCCCATTTTCAGTTTTATTCTCTCCCAATGTAAAATTAATTATAGCCGTTCGATGAAATTAATTCGAGGCTATGAGATCGGACGGTAAATATGATGGGAAGTGTGATCACTAAATACGTCTGCTTGTAGGGAATTATAACTCGATAAAATATAAGGAGAGTCAACAACGTGACCTCCACAAACACACGTAAGCACTGACTCATCTCCCACGTGGCTTCCACAAAATCTTCCCCATTCGTTTCAAAATATAATATTAATTTACTGACTATTCTAATTTTTTTTTCTGCTCGCTGACTTTAGGGAGAAATTAAAATATAGATTTTATTTAATTTGATTTCAAACGGATTGAAATCATGAAATTTGAGTGTCTAATCAGAGTCCAGCTAGCATCGATAACTTGGGTCACGTATCAATCATCGAACCGAGATATGACCAAAATATATAAATAAAAATTGTCAATATATATATATATATATATCAATAAGTTTCAATATGAGAATCAGAAAAAAAATAGTTAGATGGTTTAATCTTTAATTTTTTTATAGTCTTTATAAGTTTGAAATTTGAATTTTTCGATTTCTAGATTAAAATTCAATCGTTAGACTAAAATAAAAAAAAAATATATGTGGTAAACGACTAATTACAGCTAAATATTTAGCCAAACATAGATATCGACATTGCATTTGTTTCATCACATTAAAATGAAACTCATAAGCATTGCATACGTTCTCTTTTTCACACTAGAAATTATAGAGAGGTATCATACATTTATGTGATTATATATATATATATATCGAAATGCGCACGTACTTCTCGAATGTGAATATAGAATATATATACATATTAGGGGTGGGCACTTCGGTTCGGGAATTTAGTACCGATCCGATCCGTCCCGAAACCAAACCGGACCGAACCGAACCGAATAACGTTTGGTTCTAATTTGGTACACTTTTTATGGAACCGAATGAACCGTTCCCGAACCGAACCGTATGAATACCGAACCAAAATTCGAATATTCCACTAATATATGTGTAGAATATTACTTATTTAGTATTCATATAATGGTACCGTTTCGAACCGAACCGGTACTAAAACCGAAGCAAACCGAACCGTTTAACATTCGGTTCTAGTTTGGTACACTTTTTATAAAACCGAAAATACCGTTTTCGAACCGAACCGCTTGAATACCGAACTGAAACCCGAAACGCTCACCCCTAATACATATGCATGTGTGTCCAAATAAGTTGAATATTAGTGCCATGGATAGCTTTTATAAAATGTGGGATTTGAAAGCTAGAGAAGAGGACTTGTAAGATAATTTTCTTTTTTCTTAGTAAAAATTCGAGGCAGGGGGAGTGCCTCAGTCTAATGGTTAGTGACAACTCCCCTCTACCAAGAGGTTATCAGTTCGAAAACCAGGTATGAAAACTCTCTTTGAGCCGGTCAGTTTTATGATGCTGGTTTACCTGTTCTGCGTAGTTTGCCGGCTACTGTGTAGGGCGGTGAGTTTTCTCAGGTTCGCAATGCTATCCTGATGTCGTTCTCGTCCGGGGTTGAGAGAAGTTACGGTGTTCGGTGTCCAACTCGAAGGATTGTAGGATAGGGGTTTCCATCGTAACAAAAAAAAAAAAAATCGGAGGCAGACTTTGCCATAGTGTTTTATACTTTTTAGATTATGAACTGACAATTATAAAATTCGGAATTTAAATTCGTTCTTAACAAAAAATTTTTATAAACATACACGCAGAAAAACTACAAATTGTGATATGACCATATTTCATCACCTATACTTCTCAAATTTAATATCTCTGTAGAATCTGGAAATTACTTCATCATAATAAATAATTTACTTTCCTAATAATATTAGGAAGAAGGCCAGCGCCATGTGTCCACTACAGTAGGGGTGGGCGTTTCGGGAAACGGTTCGGGTTCGGGACGGAATAGATCGGTTCGGTTCTTTCGGTTTTACAAAAATAGGTATCAATCGGATTTTTTATTGTATTCGGTTCGGTTCGGTTCGGTTTCGGTATCGGTTCGGTTCGGTTCCGGGTTTTATTAAAAAAAATGTTAGATTTCCTTTAAAAATATTCGGTTTTTCGGGATTTTTAAAGTTCGGTTCGGTTCGGTTCGGTTCCAGGAAAATTCGGTTCTCTAAAAATGGTACCGTTCGGGAAATAACAACGGTTTCGGGTCGGGAAAAATACCGTTTTAACGGTTCGGTTCGGTCCGGTTCCGAAGAACCGAACCGAAACGTCCAGCCCTACACTACAGAGAGCGGGCAAGTTTAGTTGAAGCATTAAAATAAAAAAATCATATATTTAAATTTTTTTATAAAAAAACAGCGTGACATTTTAACCGACGTGGCGATGAATGTGGATTTAGGATAAGATGGAGACCATGTAATAATACCACATTTTTTTTTTTAATATGTGGAATATTATTATAGAATCTAATGACCAGTTGTCCCATCCTCTCTCCTATATAGAAAGCAAAGAAGCGCTTTTGCCAAACATCACAACAACCCAAACAAAACAAACTAAAGTCTGTTTTGTCTCTATTTTGGTTATTTTTGTCGTCTTCCTGTCCCTTAAAACGCAGCGTTTTCCGGCGAAACAAACCAATTTACTCACACCCACACAACGAGACCAAACAAAAAGTAAAAAAGGGGTTAGTGGAAGAACATTACGTTACCCGAAAAGTCTCCGTCTCCGCCGCCGCCATTGATGGCGCAAGCTCTAGCTCCGCCGCCGGTGATCATCGCCGCCGCTGTACCGGAGCCGCCATTGAGGCCGCCGAACCCATTTCAATACATGGCGGGTCTCCTCGGCCGGATCGGAAAAGCCGACGAGAAAGACAGCCCGCAAAGTCCTCGGAGTCCGCGAAGTCCGAACAGCAATGTGCTGATGAACAAGTACGAGATCGGAAAGCTTCTCGGCCATGGAACCTTCGCCAAGGTTTACCTCGCAAGAAAAATCGCGACAGGAGAAGACGTCGCCATTAAAGTAATCGACAAGGAGAAGATCATGAAAAGCGGTTTGGTCGCTCACATCAAGCGAGAGATCTCGATCCTCCGTCGCGTTCGCCACCCGAACATCGTCCATCTCTTCGAGGTCATGGCTACGAAAACGAAGATTTACTTCGTGATGGAATACGTTCGAGGCGGTGAGTTGTTCAGCAAGGTAGCGAAAGGGCGATTACCTGAGCAAACCGCGAGGCGATATTTTCAGCAATTGATCTCTGCTGTATCGTTTTGTCACAGCCGAGGAGTTTACCACCGCGATCTCAAGCCGGAGAATCTGCTCCTCGACGAGAAAGGGAACCTCAAAGTCTCGGACTTTGGCCTGAGTGCCGTGGCCGAGCAGCTCCGGCAAGACGGGCTTTGCCACACGTTTTGCGGGACGCCGGCTTATCTCGCACCTGAGGTTCTGACACGGAGAGGTTATGATGCGGCGAAAGCCGATATCTGGTCATGTGGAGTGATCTTGTTCGTGTTGATGGCTGGTCACTTGCCGTTTTACGACAAGAACGTCATGTCCATGTATAAGAAGATCTACAAAGGCGAGTTTCGGTGTCCGAGATGGTTCTCCTCGGAGCTCGTAAGGCTCTTGATGAGGCTCCTGGACACGAATCCCGAAACACGAATCACCCTTCCTGAAATCACAAAGAACAGATGGTTCAAGAAAGGGTTTAAACATGTTAAATTCTATATTGAAGATGATAAGCTTTGTAGAGAAGATGGAGATGATGAAGATTCGTTGGTTGATTCGTCCTCCGGAAGATCCTCGACTGCCTCAGAGGCCGACGCGGAGTTTGAGACGAAAAGGGTCGGGTCAATGCCGAGACCCGTGAGTCTAAACGCGTTCGATATAATATCGTTCTCATCGGGATTCGATCTTTCGGGCTTGTTCGAGGAAGGAGGGGAAGGGGCGAGGTTCATCTCGGGTGCACCTGTCTCAAAAATCGTAACGAAACTCGAAGAGATAGCGAGAGTTGTGAGCTTTACCGTGAGGAAGAAGGACTATAGGGTGAGTCTAGAAGGCTCTAGAGAAGGCGTGAAAGGGCCATTGACGATCGCTGCCGAGATTTTCGAGCTGACGCCGGATTTGGTGGTTGTGGAGGTGAAGAAGAAAGGAGGGGACAGACAAGAGTACGAGGACTTCTGCAACAAAGAACTGAGACCACGACTGGAGAGTCTGATGAATGAAGAAGCAAAAGGTGAAGATGAAGAGAAGATGTATTTGCCGTCGGATTCGGAATAGAAACCTGAAAAAAACAAAGAGGAAGGTTGAGAGACAAGAACATACAAAAACGGTACTGAACCATTATGATATGATATTCTTTATTAGTTCGTTTTCTTCTTCGCTTATTTTTTCGTATGCTTCATTCTATGTATTCATAACTCGAGTGTTCTAAGATTACAGTATGTGTATGCAAATGTTATTGAAAAAAGAGTGATAGGGAAGATCAACAGAATGAAGAATAGAGTGAGAGAGATCTATGGTAATCATCAGTTTTTGCTGGCGATTCTACAGCCAGTTTTCCGGCGATTGCTAGTTATATATGTACATACATGTAAAAATGACGAGCTTAATCGAATTCTTTCTCGGGCCTTCCTCTTTTAACATCACTGTTTATCTAGATATGATTCTGTGTTTGCTTATTGAGACAATGGAAAGGTACCTGCAGATTGCGTAGTCCAGTAGTTGATATTCCTCCGTGGTTCTCGGCGGCAAATTTGGATGCTAACTTCCGATATTGTCATTCCCTATCTCCTTCGAATCGTGCCTGCAAATGATTATATCGTCTACATATACAATCATTATCAGACAACTTTCCCAAAAGGAAATAGCATGTCTGAACTTCGAAAAAGCATCGGATTCAGACAGATATCGGATTTGGTCTGCATCCAAAATTTCAGGTGCTGCTGATCTGTCTTGAATCGATCACAACACCTGAGTTTACACCGTTAGTTTTGCAGTTCTTAATTCATTACTGCCTTTGGTTAAGTCAGTCACAAAGAAAGAAACATTTGATGGATAACTAGGACATGAATTGGAAAACTCGCTTTCTCTGTGTTCTTATTTCTGTAATCCACAAATGCGGAAATAGAAACTGCACATATACCTGAATCATTCAGAGATTACAGGTACTCGTTATCTGAGGTCACAAAGCAATGGCAAAGCACAAAACCGCTATCTCTATATCGATGAAGAATACGTGACGTGAAATATACGACGAAATATAACCTGAGAAAACCCCAGAAAGTCAGCATCTCAGGAAGGTTCAGATTACTAAGTTTTGGATTTACGACGAGTATGAGCAACCAGTTCCTGTGAAACATAAAAAAAAAAGAAGATAGTTTAGTATATTCAACACAACCGAGTGGTATATTGCAGGAAAATCGAATACAAGGGTTATCTTCTCGCTGATGCTTACTTCAGAATACCGTATATGATCACTGTGCACATAGGAAGTCTTGACAATAGTTTCCCACTTGGAAACACTGCTGGATTTTTCTTCGGGATTCATTCTCTGGGGACGGAATGGAGATCTACGTGACGAGATTTGTGAGCTTACTGAAGGCAGATTACGCATAAGCCATGATTCAGAAGGCTTTTTGGGCAAGGGTGGAGCTAGAGGAGATGGTTCGCCACCTCTTTCGATCTTTCCCAACCCATCCACCTTCACAATTTCTCCACTGCTAATAGCATCAAGTTCAAGATTCGTGTCTGATTTTTTCCCGCTCGTCTTGTCCACTTCCTCTGAAACTGTCTCCACGAGTTCGGGTTCGGGCAACATCTTGATGTCCAAGTTCTGCCGATTGCTAGCAATGGGAGAATTTCCAGTGTCAATATACATAGTCTTCTCCGGGACAGAAATTGTAGAACAGCCGTGTCTTGCGCTTTTCGGATATATTAATTCCTGTGACCTGCTAATGCTTTTGATATGCTTGTTCAACCTGTTAGCTCTCAAATTCTCGGCCTCTTTGCGAGTCCCAGGGAAACCCATTGGGTGAAGAGGAGAACTGTTAGCAGTGCTGCGGTACGGTGACATACAGCCAGCGTGCCTGTAAGGAGACGACGATCTACTAGCCGTAGCCAGGTTTTGTCCAAGTTGTTCAGATTCACGATTGAACTTTTTCGCAACACTTGGGTGCATCGGAGATTGAGCTCTATCACTAGACTTTTGTTTGTAGACTGAATCTAGAGCAATCTGAAATGTACAAGATCTACAACCGGTAAGCTCTTACCAAATGGATAGACTGATAAAGAGTTTAAAAGAGGAAGAGAATTCGATTACAGACCTTTACAGTTTGGAATTGTGATTTGAGTTGAGAGACCTTGCTTGCCTTGACCTGTCTATGACTTGACGTTACCAGGGAGTCAGGTTTCGGCTTAAGACCAGGCACTGTTTTCAGCATGCCGAGGGAATTCCTAAAGCACAGCTGCGGTAAGAACCCGCAGCCTCTCTTTGACATATACGCAGAATTAGCAAACTCGGAAACTTCATCTTCCTCATCCTCGCTTTCTTCAGCATCTTCCACTTGCTCGTGATAGTATGGTGGGATAATAGACTCGTACCTATTAGGAGTCCGGCACTTCTCGGCTGATACTATTTCTCTAATCTGTCTGGCCGGTACGATGTCTCTGATCTGTCTCGTTGGTTCAGACATAACAGGAGACAGTTGTCGTTTCGAAGCGTATTGAGGTTGCTCCACTGTCATGGCTTTCGCAGCGGGTAAGAAACGATTCAACATGAAATCCCGAGTTTGAGGGTCCTCAGCTAGGATTGGTGGCTTCTTCATCTCAATGCCATATCCACTCACGCCACTTATACTATGGTTCACACCTGCAGAACACGATTCTTTCGGAGAAAGTGTATCAAGGGCATCAGAAAAGGCATCATCGTCATCATCATCATCTGATTCTTGAACCTGTTTACCCTTCAAGATTTGTAATCTTGTCACGTTATCATCAAGGGCGGTTCTAACCGCGTTCTCTCCATCAGAATCTTTCCCCCATGGAGACTTCAGAAGATCCATTACCTTCCCTGGTGGATTGCGAGGTGGAACAAAATCCTGCATAGAATCATGGGTTTCAGGCCGGAGACTATCACCTTTTAGTCTTCCAGGCTCTTGTTCCCATGTGAAAGGAACAGAGGCAGGATCAGTAATGGGATCTAAGGCCATGTCTGGGTAACAAACTGCAACCTTGGAGGAGCCTTCACTTCTCTTGAAGTCTTCATCAGACAACTTCTTGGTTCTTCGGACAGAAACCGCAGTCGTCTGAGACCTCCGTGTCGAGAGAAGAGGTGCATTAAAATTCAGCTTCCTTTCCGCCATAGGAGCTCAGAACTGTGGTAAATTATGCACGAAGAACCACAGAGTAGGTACTAAGCTCACAGACCGATGAAATTCAATGCTGTTTCATATCATCATTTGTTTAAATCTTCGTGATGTTCCGATTTTCCAGGACAGATCTGAGAATCAAAGATAAAATATAATTCTGAGCAATCTAGATTCGAAGTATGCAATAATTATATACACATGTACATACATATATACATACAAAATACACTCAATGACCACCTAGATTCTCCCATACTATATTCACACACACAAACAAAGGGAGAGGAAAATAACAAAAAGAAAAAGCCTCTGCGTGAACTTTACAATAAACTTTTAATTAAAATATTAGAGCGTCTCTAAACTTGTGGGATTTAACTAATTAATCGCTCTAATAATAATCTCTAATCACGTCACGAACTCAAAAATTGAAAGTTGAAACATGTGATTCAAACTTCAAAGCCAGTGGGATGATTAAAGAAGCAGCAAACACAAAATTAGATGTGATTTTCTTCTAATCAAATATTAAACATTGAGAATTAGCAAGCATGTATGTACTCGAGCTAACCACCGATTTCGCAAAATCCGGACACTCTACCGAATAATCAACTGAAATCTCATCAAACCAAGGATTCCATTCCACGTATCGAGATTCAAAAGCGGAAAAAAATCGAGAGATAACAATCTCTGAGAAACATCCAACGAAACTAACAGATCCTTCTGTTTTTCCATCTCCTCCGACGATCGGAGAGATCGATAAAGCGATGAAACTCGAAGAAAGCGAAAATGGAGGAGAAATCTAACCAGCGCTGCGTGAATCGTCGTCTCCACCGAGAGAGTAAGAACTGAAAAGAGGAGCGGCTCTGAGAAGACGCAGATAACTATTTCTCTGTAGGAGTAAGCACAAAGAAAAGGGAATGGGTAGAGAGAGAGCGAGCGAGAGAGAGAGAGAGAGAGAGAGAGAGAGAGAGAGATTTATGAGCTTTTCGCTTTAGTGTGGGTTTTGTGCCGTAGAGGTGACGGAGACGAAGGAGATGGAAAAGGGAGGTCACGAGACGATACGTTCATTTCCTGTGGGACAGTTAGCTCTTCATTTAATTCACGTATATAAATATAAATATATATATATATAATCCCATTTTTAGATAACTTAATTTTTTTCTATTCTTTAGATTCGAATTTGAAACCATTAATTTTGAATGAATTGCATAAATAAATAAAACTGAATGTTTCATAAATTTTATTCACTTGTTTCCCATTCCCATCCAAAATTTTTGAAATTGGTATCTTTAAATTTTCTAATAATAATAATAATAATAATAATAATAATAATAATAATAATAATAATTAATACTCAATTATGGGATAGTTCAAATTGTTAATTTCAAGGATCCATATGGATTTAAATCATTGTGAGTTGAGCATCATGGATGATTAGAAATTAGAATAGGCAATCACATAATTAAACAATCATGACAAAAAAATTTGTAATTGAATTTTATTTTTTTCATTTTCCCTTCAAAAATTTTTTTGTTACCATTTAGTTTCCATTTGATTATGTTAGTTTAGCAATCAATCGCCTTTGAGAAAGTGATATAACTCTATTTTAAATTGTATTTCAATTCCAATTTTTGTTTTAAATTTTTACTAATAAAATATTTCTATAAAAATTATTTTTATTTTATCAAATATTTTTTTCATAAATTTATGTTATATATTACTCCCTCCATTTTTATAATACCTGATGTTATAGATAATATTTTTGTTACTAAATAGATGTTTTAGATAATTTTTTAAAATAGTTCTCAATTTTACTTTAACCGAATTTAATAAATTTAATGAATATTAATTATATTTTAACTATTAAATAATGGTATATATTATTTTTATAATTTTTAAAAAAATTCGAAAAAGCTAAAACGTATCATTGTAAAAAGGATGGAGTCTAAAATCCGATTAAATTAAATTAAAATTAATTGACTAGATTGGATTGGAGAATGATTATGCCAAACTATCGGGCCCACAGCATCATTTTCAATCATTTTAGTTATTTTTTTTTGCTGATTATTTAATTTCAGTGGTCATATTATTGTTAGTTAAGACCAAATTAATAAATATAATACCTACCTATATATATTTAATTATATTTACTATCAACCTTTTCTCCCCTCTGCTGCTATTAATAGAAAAATGTGATCCCATTTACTACTATTTAAGAGCACCGTCTGTCAACTTTATTCAAATTCCGTGGACATGTCATCTGAAAATATATATAAACCTAACCCAAAATAACATATGATTGGATATTTATACGAATTAAATCCTATTTAAAAATATACTGAATTTTAAAACTAAATCTAAATTAATCCAGTCAGATTGATATATTAAAATAAATCACAAAACCTGTTTAAAAATGAATAATTTTTAAAATAAAAATGAAATTCAAAACTCAATTCGTACAAAATTCAAACGGATCTAAAGCTAAACTATTATTATTATTATTATTATATAGTCTTTTAAATTAAAAAATAAGAAAATTATTATTATTATTATTATATAGTATTTTAAATTAAAAAAACGTGAACCAAAAACCTCTTAAATGTTTACTCTTAATTCAAACTTCAAGAGCCAATAAAGATTGAGTTAATAAGGAGATATAACTGTCTAGCATTTCCATTAAATATGTGAAGCAAGGAAAATAAGAATTTTAGTAGGGGTGGGCGTTTCGGGAAGCGGTTCGGGTTCGGGACGGAATTAATCGGTTCGGTTCTTTCGGTTTTACAAAAATAGGTACCAATCGGGTTTTTTATTGTATTCGGTTCGGTTCGGTTTCGGTATCGGTTCGGTTCGGTTCCGGATTTTATTAAAAAAATGATAGATTTCCTTTAAAAATATTCGGTTTTTCGGGATTTTTAAAATTCGGTTCGGTTCGGTTCCGGAAAAATTCGGTTCCCTAAAAATGGTACCGTTCGGGAAATAACAGCGGTTTCGGGTCGGAAAAAATACCGTTTTAACGGTTCGGTTCGGGCCGGTTCCGAAGAACCGAACCGAAACGCCCATCCCTAAATTTTAGTGTATGATATTCAACCATTTATTATGATTATTAACCATTATATTATTTTCAGATTTCTTAAGAAAGTCTTGCATATTATATATATATATATATATATATTATGATTTCAAACTAGGATTTGTAAAAATTCGAAACATTATTTCATGACATATGTTCAAAAGTCTTGAGAGTTTTGTCATAACCCAAAAAAAAAAAAAAACGTTCACACCTAACAAGTGAATTGCACGTTACGCAAAACAACAAACAAAAAAATTTGCATGATTAGATTATTTTATTTTATTTAATATTTCATGTCTCTTTTTGTTTTTTAAATGGTTGTCAATATTTTTTCAGATGAAAGGTTGTATAAATAAATAAATAAATAAATAATCAAAATCCTTAATGAGCGGCTTGTCTAACGTTACTCGACCACATGCCCCCTACTACATCTCATCTCTACCTTTTACAAGCATAGATTGCTCCTCGTGAACTTCTTGTCTCGTAATAATTTTATTATTAAAACTTTTTTTTTTCTCCTAATCAATACATTCATAATAACAAAGATAATTTTTCAATCTGAGGGTCATCATATCAAAATTCCTATTTTTATTCCGTTCTTTCTATTTTTTTAAACAAATATAATTTTTAAATTTCTATATCATATTTCAACCTGGTTAATATTCATTTTTATAAAAAAAATGATTATTTTCTAACACAATTTCTTCATTTGTTTTCCTACTTATTTTATTATTTTAATATTTTTTAATTATACGTAATATTTTTTATTTTTATATGGCTCACCAGTTAAGAACGAATTAGACCAATAAAAACGAACTTAACAAATTGGATTAAAAATGAATTGGCTCGATCGGATCCGATCCAAACCAACTCATTTTACATCCGTAGTACAACATATAAAGTTTTGAATCACGTTTTTCTAAAGTAAACATCATTTTAAAATGTGATATCAATGTGCTGATGGTTATAAAGTTGCCGGTTATAAAATGCAATATCAAAGCTAGGATCAAACATTGCCTTCAAGTCAAAGAGTTTAACAGATAGTTATAAAGATGACAAGATGATTTCTTTCTGCCGCTATGATCCTTAACATAAATATTTTTCACAGGTACAATTATCTAAGGATAAAAGTAAACATCTCTCAGTAAACCAAAAATTAATGAAATCAAACAAATAAACAGTCTTTCAAAATATAAAGGAGGAACCAGAGGGGAAAAAAACCCGAAATAGTTGTGACATTTCCTTCGGGTTTTAGCTCTGCTCCTGAGCTTCTGCAGCCTCTTTCTCCTCAGCCGCGGCAGCCATAAGTTCTTCAAACTTTTCAGATTTCCCGAGTGTGATCTCCATCTACAAGACAATACCGAATATTTTCAGCTTCTGATGAGCATTTACAGAGAAAAATGACTAATGATGAAATGGGTTTTGCTAAAGTCTCTGTTCAGGTCAATTGCCAAGGAATAAGCAGAGGATCTCCTCCATCTACAAGATGATGAATACCGGATATTTTCAGCTTCTGATGAGCAATTACAGAAAAAAAAATTGAGAATGATGAAATGGGTTTTAGCTAAAATCTCTGTTCAGTTCAATTGCCAAGGAATAAGCAGAGGATCTGATCTCCATCTACAAGATGGTGAATACCGAATATTTTTAGCTTCTGATGAGCAAATACAGAGAAAAATGGCTAATGATGAAATGGGTTTTAGCTAAAATCTCTGTTCAGATCAATTGCCAAGGAATAAGCAGAGAGTATGACTAAGTAACGAGACATTATAAGATCTGAGTGTACCTTGGCTTTCTGGACGGGACGTCCCCTCGAGTCATCCTTTATATCCACAGTTGAGGTCATGATCTCTGCAAGAAGATACAATTATCAGAAATTTAAGGATTAATCAGCATTTTCTGACCACTTTTTTTTATATGATGTCCACACAAAGACTAGAAGATCTTACTCTTCTCAACAGCAAAGCCATTGTTCTTCAAGATTTCGGCAACAGTAACAACAGTAGCAATGGCTGCACATGGATTGACAATGAAAAGTAACATTAATATCGGAAAGATGGGAGTTTACCAAGTAAAGACAACACAGATATGGAGCACTGTATTTGTATATCCACTTAAAGGATCATCCCACCGAAAATAGTAAGTGATTTATTCTCTCTTCAAGTTTAACTTAACTAAGTCACTAGTACTTGCCATTTATAGCAACTAAAAATATACACTACACTCCAATACTTGCAAGTTATAATAAAACAGAGGTAGTGACACTACAACCATCCGGGAGAAAGAACTCAAGAAAATGAAAAAAAAAACAGAGCAGTTTTACATCTCATTCATACGCATAAACGCGAACACAAAAATATATATTAGAGAAAAGATTAAACATACCCATCCCAAGAGCGGACAATTCAACCTCATCGTACTGCTGCATGTACCTCTGAGAAAACCAAAGAAGAAACGAAAAAAAGATAAGATAATCAATCTGAGGAATAAATACACAATATTACATATCGCAAGACATAGAACAGAATCCTCCTCCATGCTTGGTTTGTTCTTTCCACTCATTATAGTTCTTTATACATGTTTACTCTTTCAAGAAGATGACTCTAAAGAAATGTTTACATAGAAAGACACCGAGTTTCTGGAAATACCAAAACAATTTCAATTCAAAGAATGGATAAGACAAATTGACAAAACCAGTCCCATAACCGGTTTGGACTGCTCGTAACCAGGTTTAACTCACAGACAAATCAAACTGGAAAGACTCCATCAATCTATTCTCTCGAACCTTATCCAAACAGAACAAAAGAACACAGCACATAAACAATAAAAAACATGACATGGGAACAGAGATTCCAAGCCCTAACTCATATCCTCACGAACCCAACAACAAAACCATCACTTCGCTCTCAATTCCTCATCGCAACCCAGATCCCATCCCGAGTTACCTCTCATTGGACTATCCTCCAATTCCCCGATCTTCATCCTCAAAGACCCATCTCCTTCTTCGTTGGCCCATCTCTATTTTCCTCAAAAGGGTATCTAATTTCGGTATAATCAAGACCTCGTGGAGGTGCAATGCCCTTATTATCAGCCGTTACCGGCGATTATGGCCACCGGAGATGGAGAGTGGGGAGTGAAGGAGAAGAGAGGGTATGTGAGGAAGAGACCAAGGAGGGGTAGATTGGCGAGCCATGTGAAACACCGGAAACATACATCAGTTTCGGAAACTGATACAGTGAACCGTTATAATCTTAACCTAAATTCGGGAGTAATTCAAACAATAATATCTAAATAATCGCTTCGAGCCACCTAAAGGAAAACACAAGAAGGGATATTACGACCTTTGTCTTGCACCTATTGACAAACTAAGCCAGTATAGATTGAACCACATGGAAAACCACAAAATCTCCGACAGATTGAGCCTTGAAGGGGATAATATTAGCCAAGTTTTGTCGGAAAACAATCATATTCTCGACAAGCGATAGATGGAAATCCAGAAACTTGCCGCTTGGAGGCTTTTCCCCCAGTGACCGAAAGAAGATTGTTACCTTTGCGAGATTGACGTAGAAGAACAATGGCTTCTTGGTGTTCGAAACCTGAATCCGGTTCTTCTTCTGGGTATCAACTGCCAAGTTCATGTTGTTCACTCCCTCCGTGATCTCTTCCATGGAAGCTGAAACTCGAAAACCCTAACCCTAATTTTGCTTCTCTCTGAATCTCTCTACCTCTCTCTGGTCAAAGGGATAAAATCAACAGATTAGGATTAGGGCATTGGACGAGAGAGAGGCTTTGGGCCCAAAACACGTGACTGCGACCGGATCAACCCGATACGTCAATCGGGTCGGATTATTTTTTATTTACAAAATTTATAATATTTTCTTAATTACAAAAATTATTAGAGTTTTATTTATTTTAAAATTTATGGTATATAGAATATTTTTTTTTAATTCTATTTTCATATGATTTTTCTGATAGTTTTCGAAAATATACTATATTAGCATAGATAGAGGCGATAATTTGTTCTTTAAAAAGATTTCATTAAAATTTATATAAATCAGTAATCCAATTGGATTATTTAAAATTTATTCGAAGCATTCTAGCTTTAAAATAACGCTATATTTTACTATAATTATAATAATCATTAAGAGAATAACCAGAAAATTTTGTAGATCTAAAACTGATTATTATAAATATAAATCCAATAATATATTGTTTTGATTGTTTTTCTTTCTCATTTTTAATTAAATAAAATAGTAGGATATAAGCAGCTTTACGTTTTAATAATATCACAATGCAAAAACCATCTGTAATAGAGAAACAAAAAAAAAGACTGCTAATTATCTAATTTTATTCAAAAAAAATTATTTAGGATTATTTTGTTATTTTCAATTTAAATTCAGGATAATATAATTAATTTAATTGAAAATAGGATTATTTATGTTGAATGTCAATGTAATTATCCAAGAAAAAAAAACAAATATTAAATAACAAGAAAAAGGGGGAGGAACAAAATCGGAATTGTCCAGAGATTGCAACCCCTCGAGAAATCCGGTCTTTGTCGACCAGAGATTGAAGATCGGAAGTCATGCCGATCTTCAAGACGCCCTTTAATGGCTAAACGGTCAGGTTCAGCCCCTTCTACGAGTCTCGCCTCGCCGTGGCCACCGCTCAGAACTTCGGCATCCTCGGCAATGGCCGAATCCACGTCCTCGACCTCCCTCCCACCGGCGGCGCCGTCGTCGAGTCCACTGCCTTCGACACCGCCGACGCCGTATACGACGTTTCTTGGTCGGAATCTCACGACTCCCTCCTCGTCGCCGCCGTGGGCGATGGCTCCGTCAAGATTTACGACACCGCACTTCCTCCTCCGTCGAACCCTATTCGCTCCTTCCACGAGCACGCGCGTGAGGTTCACTCCGCCGATTACAACCCCACGCGCCGGGATTCGTTCCTCACAGCTTCGTGGGACGACACAGTCAAGCTCTGGACCATGGATCGTCCCGCGAGCATTCGGACTTTCAAGGAGCACGCGTACTGCGTGTACCAAGCGATTTGGAACCCTAAACATGGCGATGTCTTTGCCTCTGCTTCCGGAGACTGTACGCTTAGGATTTGGGATGTTCGGGAACCCGGATCGACGATGATCATCCCTGCGCACGATTTCGAGATCCTGTCGTGTGATTGGAACAAGTACGATGATTGTATCCTGGCGACATCTTCAGTGGACAAGACGATCAAGGTATGGGACGTACGGAATTACAGGGTTCCGGTGGCGGTGTTGAACGGCCATGGTTATGCAGTGAGGAAGGTGAAGTTTTCGCCGCATAGAAGGAATCTGATGGCTTCATGTTCGTATGATATGACTGTGTGTTTGTGGGATTTCATGGTGGAGGATGCTCTGGTCGGTCGCCATGACCATCACACCGAGTTCGCGGTGGGAATCGACATGAGCGTTCTTGTTGAAGGTCTAATGGCGAGCACTGGATGGGACGAGCTTGTGTACATTTGGCAGCAAGGGATGGATCCCAGAGCAAGTTGAAAGTAAGTTTCGATCCACAAACTTTGAATTCGATCTCTTAATCATACGAAAGTTTCGAAATAAAGTTGAAATCTTTAGGTGAAGGAAATGTAACTTGTGGGTCGAAATTGTTGGAATGTGATAGTTGATTGAACAAGGAACAAGCTTTCCTTCCAACTGTGAATTGATTTCAATTCAACTTCATTACAGTGTGGTTCATTTGCAAATGGTGTTGAGATTATAGATTATTGCAGTGTCTGGGCTTGAACTGTTTCATCATACGAGGTTGTGTAGTGGATCATAGTGAATCACCATACTTGTGGATTTGGTTATCTTTCCTGCATTGAGAGACACCATATCTTGACATGGGCAGATCTTACATCAAAGAGATCGTTTCTGCAGGATAGAAATTACCGGTTTGAACTTTCGGGTTTTAGTGAAACGATTTGCCGGGAAATGATTCAGTACCGGATTATGTAGGGCTTCGTTAACAGGACGGACCTGGTTGGTTTTCTTTGTTTAGAAGATATTCTGCGGTGACAAGTTCAGTTCAAGGAACATAGGAATTGAGAAGTTAGTTTGCTTAAGTTCAGAATTCAGCTAGTGCCCCAAGGAAAGCCCTGGTAATGTTCTGCCATAGATACAAGTAGGAATTAGGGCTGAGCGAGGATACTTGAGAAGACCCGCGGGTTTTCGGGTATTCGGTCGCACGGTATCCAACCGCCAACGAAACCGAAGATGGGTGCGATGAGGCAAAGAACACGGATCACGGGTTTGGATTCAAGTTTTTCCAAAACATGATGGGTTACAGGTTTTACCCGTGGATATCTGGTTAGAAGCGAAGTTACGTTTTATCTTTTACTATTTTAACGTATTTATAATAAATACCCTATATCTATTTTCGTGTAAAATTATTTAAATACCGTAAATTTCGTCGGGTACCCGATTGCAACCGCGAGTATCCGGATCTCGCAATGTTGGGACTGAGATAATGCCCAAGAAACCAGTGAAGACGAGACCGAGACCGGGACCGAGACCGGACACCCAATTTTTTTGGGTATTTGGTGGTAATGGCTATTTGCTAGAATTGTTGTATTGTTCTATCTATCTACAGTTTCATTGTCGCGTTGACCGTCAAGTGGGCTTTTGACCTTTTTCTCAGACATACATATTTATACACACATAGATACGGAGAGGTATGTACATTCGTACGTATGTGCATAGTGAAATTTTAACCCGAGTGAGATCACACGTTGCAAAATTAAGGCTCAATAACGGCCCACGTAAAATGAAACCATCTAAGTTTATGGACCTCATTGGCCCACAACTCTTCCTTTCCAATCTCTTTTACATATAATTAGATTAGTTGTAAACCATTTACCGCATGTTTAAAAAATCTTAAGTATGAGATTTTTTTTTATAACCAAGAGGTTCACTGGTTCTTCGGCCCATTTAATCCCCCTGCGTATGGAGTCAATCTTTAGTGAGATAATTAATTGCACCCCTTCCTTCCCATCAGTAGAATCGAATTCATGATCTTGAAAATGACTTTGTCAATTTTCATACACTCAAGTATGAGATTTGATAGATTACCCCAGGTTAACAGGGGTTGGAACTAATGGGAATATGTATCTAATATATATTGCGATCGCTTATTTTCCGGAGTTTCGTTTTAATCATCGATTGTATTTCCTGTTTTGGAACTTAGGTCAAATCTCCTCTGCATTCTCTCTTGGTTGTATTAAAAGGACTCTGTACGTAAATAACAAGGACACAGTTTTTCGATCCAATATTTTGCGGCTCGATACGTGACATGGGTATCAGAGCCCGACACAAAACATATACCGATTTGAAACACGAGCTCTATTCGACTGATTCCGTCAACACGACCTCCGACCCGACCACGACTCTGCCTCACGGAGCCGACCCAACGATCCCAGCAAACATGCAGCCACTGACGACCGCACGTGACTCCACACCGACTCCCTGACGAACGATCTCGCCGTATGATCTTACGCCGAACGACAACCCCGGATTGATTTTGTCTCAACCTCTGATGCGTGGAGACAATTATGATGAATGGGCGATTAATATTCGCCAAGCCCTCAAATCTTGGAAGAAATTTGGTTTCGTTGATGGGACGATTCCACAACCTTTACCGGATTCCTCCGATTTCGATGATTGGGACACGAACAATTCCCTTATTGTTTCGTGGTTGAAGAACACGCTTGAATCCCATCACCGTTCGGATGTGGTTCATCGCGAGTTTTCTGCGGATCTGTAGGCTTATTTGAAACGCAGGTTTGGGAAGACGACGACTCCACGTCTTCTCAAGCTTAGAAGCGACCTTGCCAATTGTCGTCAACATGGGATGATGGTTGAGTTCTATTTCGGCAAACTCACGAAATTGTGGGATGACCTGGCAAATTTTCGGAATCTGAAAGTCTGCAACTGCGGAACTTGTTCGTGTGACATCGCTGTTGTACTCGAGCGAGAGCGAAATGAAGATAGGTTGTACGAGTTTCTGCTCGGTCTTGACGAAACTCGATACAGTGTTGTTCGCTCCAACCTCCTTGCCCGACAATCCCTTCCCACAATCGAAGAGGCGTACAACCTGGTTGTACAACAAGAAGACAGTCACGACGGTTCTCAGACTGTCGAAACAAACCCACACGCAGCACCATTCTCGGTTCATCAAGCTCCAGCTCCTCGGACAAAACAGACTGACAAAGAGTCCTCGGCTCTCTGCTCTAATTGTGGGCGAGCGGGACACACTGTTGATGGCTGTTTTAAGCTTATCGGATTCCCTGAATGGTGGGGGGATAGGCCACGGAGCAGAGCTGGTCGTGTTCGGGGAGTGTCTGCATCTTTGACTCAGCAAGACCGCAGTCGTGTCCAAATTGCGCGTGCCAACGCTGCCCAAGTGACGAATGTTGCACTCGTCGCGCTTCCTGCAGCGGTTTCAGAAGCCGACAACACCATTCTTTCCGGTATTACTGCTGACCAGTGGAAATCTCTCCTCACTTTGCTTAATCCGAGTAGTGCTGACAACTCTGACTCAATGTCCGGTAAGATGTCTATTCTTAATTGGATTTTGGATACAGGCTGTTCTCAGCACATGATGGGTGAAAAATCTGTTCTGTTGAATTTGACTTCGATCTCGCCGTGTTCTGTAATTCTTCCCGATGGTCGGCAAGTCTTCTCTGTGCTCTCTGGCTCTGTTGTTCTCGGACAGAATCTTCGCATAACAAACGTGCTTATGTTCCTGGTCTTCACGCAAATTTGGTCTCTATTTCTCAATTGTTGGCTGACTGTAGTTGTTTCGTGACGTTTGCTCCAACATTTTGTATCATCCAGGACCGCACTACCAAGACGCCGATTAGAGCGGGTGAACTCAAAGCTGGCCTCTATTATTTCAGAAATGCAGTGAATCTTGCAGTTACTCGAACAACGGATATTCAGTCTTTTGAAGTGTGCACAAACGGTTGGTCATCCCGCGTCAAGTATACTTGGGAAGATTCCGAGTTAGAATTTTATTTCGTCAATAAGCACTGCGATGTTTGTTTGCGTGCAAAACAAACCCGAGATTCGTTTCCCTTAAGTATCAATAAAAGTTCAGCAATTTTTGAATTAATTCACTGTGATTTGTGGGGGCCTTACCGAACTCCTTCATTCTCGGAAGCACGGTATTTTTTTACCATCGTTGATGATTATTCGCGCGGTACTTGGATTTATTTACTGAAAGGGAAACAAGAAACGACATCACACATCTGACATTTTTTGGATCTTGTGGAGCGACAATTCCACACAACCGTTAAGAAAATTCGATCCGACAACGGTTCCGAGTTCGTGTCTCTGCAGAGTTATTTTGCTGAAAAATGTATTTTGCACGAGACATCATGCGTCGGAACTCCGCAACAAAACGGAAGAGTTGAACGAAAACACTGGCATATACTGATATAGCCGGAGCATTAATGTTTCAAGCGAGTTTGCCAATTGAGTTTTGGGGAGACAGTGTATTGACAGCGGGATATCTCATTAACCGTACTCCGTCCTCGGTGTTAAACGGTCGTACACCTTATGAGCTCATCCATGGTCAGGCCCCGAACTATGATCATCTTCATGTGTTCAGTAGTTTGTGTTATGTACACAATCAAAATCGAGCTGGTGACAAATTTGCATCACGGAGTTTTAAATCTGTGTTTGTCGGGTATCCTCAAGGAATCAAGGGTTGTAAAGTTTATAACCTGGAAACAAAGAAGTTTCAGGTCTCAAGGGATCTTGTTTTTTGTGAAGAACAATTTCCGTTTACTGACAATGTTTTGTTACAGCCGATATAGCCTCTGCCGCTATCATCGACGATTCCTCCGATGTCTCATGATGTTGATGAATTTTTTCCTTGCGCCACTGTTGATGTTATTCTGTCATCAACCGAACCTGCTCCTCCCGAAATTCATGCCTCACCGTCTGCATCATCGTCTGAACCTCTCCTCCCGAAATAATTCTGCCTTCCCAGATTTCAGCCGCTTCTGCTTCACCGGCCACCGACTCTGGTTCTGAAAATGCTGAGACCGGAAACTCGTCGCTTCCAGATGTTGCTAGCTCATTGCCCAGCTTCCTGACTCTGTTGAACCATCCCTTGGCAGAGGACAGAGACAAAAAATTCCCTAGTGTTCGTCTCCAAAATTTTTTGACCAATACTGTCCAGGTTGTTCGCGGCAGTGCAGCACCAGCCTTGACTATTTCTAAAACGGCAACGCCATGTCCAGCTTTTCCGATCAATAATTCTGTTTGCTACAAGAATATTCTCTCTCACACATGGTTTTCCTTGCAGCAATCACAACGGAACAGGAACCACGCGACTACAAAGATGCAGCTCGCGATGCCCGATGGTGCATTGCTATGAAAGAAGAACTCGATGCTCTAGCCAAAAATCAGACTTGGACAATGGAATCTTTACCGCCCGGAAATAAAGCAATCGACAACAAATGGGTTTTCCGTATCAAGTACAAGTCTGATGGTACGATTGAGCGCCGTAAAGCACGACTCGTAGTTCTCGGTAACAATCAAACTGAAGGGATTGATTATGATGAAACGTTTGATGACCTGGCAAATTTTCGGAATCTGAAAGTCTGCAACTGCGGAACTTGTTCGTGTGACATCGCTGTTGTACTCGAGCGAGAGCGAAATGAAGATAGGTTGTACGAGTTTCTGCTCGGTCTTGACGAAACTCGATACAGTGTTGTTC